AGACATTTATTTATACATTCTTTTGTCCATTAATTAATTAGCTCATTAAAAAAATACTTTAGCCTTTATTGACAGTCTACCTTATGCACATCTATGAGTAGCAGTTCACCAAGTAGGTAAGATGGGAAAAGTGATTCACAGGGGAATCACTCCAAGTGAAAGAAAGATCAAATAAAAAGAGATCCCATAAAGGTATGGGAGGAATAGCATAAAATTGTGTTAGGGAGTTGTAAGTAGCTCAGTATGAATAAAACATAGGATTCAAGGAGGAAGAAATGGCTGGTGATACTGGATCAGAGGGAGATCTCACGGAGCCTTGTAGGCCAAGCCAGAATATGAAGATAGGGAGTTGTTTGAAGAGTCTTTAACAGGAGAGTACTGGGAGAGCAGATCTTTCTGGAAGCAGAAATAGGGCTATGACTGGATGGCAAAGGGAGAAAGGAGGGTAGCAAGGCACCATAGGAATTATGAGCACAGACTTCAAAGTCACATTAGTCTGCATCTAATATAAGCCCTGAGTATTACTAACCCTGTCACTTCAGGGAATTTTTTACCTCTCTGAGCTTCAATTTTCTTGTCTATGTAAAGGGGATGTTAATAGCCCCTGGCTCATGGGATTATTGTGAGGTTTAAATGATAATGCATATACAACATTCAACATGATGCCTGCGACATAGTAAAAACATAATAAGCAAAATAAGAGAAAAACCAGAAATGCATTACAAATGAGAGACACATGTTTCCTCCTACTTAGTCCCAGTCTTATTTTCCTCTACTCTTTGTGTTACTTGAAAGTCCTCATGAATTTGGCCTACTGAGCCCTTCTTAAATGGATTTTTATTTGTATTCTTAGTAGATTCTAGAAAATCTAAGCCCTGAGCAGCATCTTGACTTCCTTGAATGATTACCCCAGGGCCCATTACCTTCACTCTGTCTGCAAATCAGGTTAGGCATCCGACCCACTCAGGAGAGGAGCTGGGACAGCTGCAAGCATTAGACGAATTCTCTTGATAGCACACAATCAAATTTGGTGGAGATGGCAGGCTCTCAGAGTCAAGTTGCTAAACTTGGCTAGAATAGGAGAAAACTGGGGTGATTGAATTTAAAGCATGGACCCTGATCGGATATACTAGTAAATGAAGAGTTGAGAACATGAGCATCATAACCTGAGGGGCCCGTCACTGTAGGAATCACTAACATATGAAGACATGCTCACCTTGCTCTCAGATCTGTGAGCCAGGGCCTGAAGCTAGTGTCACAGGTCACTAACCAGAGACCTCAAGGCCACTTTCAACTGGCATTCTTCCTGAATGCAAACTGGGAACCCTGAAACTAGGTTAGTCCATCAGCCTCACATTTCTGCATGTTTCAATCACATCACAAATTTAGACTATCATCTGTTCTTTCTATACCCTCACCTCTGCACTGATCTTATCTTGGTTTTCACTGTTCCCTTCTCTATCAAGAACTTTCCACTTTCCACTTTTTCCTCTGAAACTCAGCTTCATGGTAACTAATCATACTTGGGTTCTCAGTCTTTTAGTCCACTGCTTCCTTTACATCTTCTCTTAAACAAACAATGCTTGGTACATGATACTTAACAAATAGTTGCTACATAAAACAATGAAGACCTGATATCTTGGAGGTCATTATTCCCCCCATTTCTCTCTCAGGAACTGTTGATTCACTTATACTCCATGGACAGAAGTATCAGGAGAGGACGACTTTCCTCTTGACTCCCCATGCACCTTCCAGGCCATTATTTTTCTGCCTCATCACTGGTAGCCCCAAAATTTCAATATAGGAAGGTTTAGGGTAGCAATCTGGCTGGAAAGGAAGAGTGCCGGGGGGAGGGGGCAGCACTTGTCTTAAAAGTTGTATTTACATTACAAGAAGTCTATTGTTACCTGTATATTTATCTGTGGTGGCTTTGGGAGTAGGAGGTAAATGGATTCTGTTGTGGGCCCAAACACATCCCTAGACAGCCTTTGATACTACCACTGATGTTTATATGAAAATCCCTGTTCCTTTATTGGTTATGCTTTTCTCTCTACCATCCGGCCTTCCTCAGTGCTACCAGGTTCTAACCCATATTAGTTAGACCTTATGTCCCATCACTTAAACCACTTTTTTCTAAAATAGTCAAATCTGTCTTGTTTTCTACACCTGTGCAGCTACTCTCCTTCTGTCCTTCTGACCACTATCATCGATCCCTTGGACTGGCAGTCATGGTACTTTACTTCTTTCACTCACTTGAAAGGTACCCTGTGACTTCAGGATCATTTTTAAATTCTTTAACATGGTTCATATGGTCCCTTTCTAGTCTGGCTTCTGCCTTCCTCTTCAGACACATTACTCATGAATTCCCTTCTCACTCTTTGTACTTCAGCCACGACGAATTCCTTTCAGTTCCAACATTTGCTTTTTTCTCTCTTGCCTCCTGGCTTTTGCACACACTCATATCTGGAATAGCAGAAGTTCGTAATTTATCAAGGACTATGGAGTAGTGTTCTAGGTACTGGACTTGGAATCAGACAGAAACAAATTGGAGTCCCAGCTCTATCATTTACTCACTTGATGTAATGAGTGAGCTCCTTAACTTTTATGAACCTCCACAACCACATTGGCAAAGTGGAATAATACCCACCTTGACCAAATGATTTTATGCGAATTAAATCAGGTACATGGGGTGACTGGGTGGCTCAGTTGGTTAAGTATCTGACTCTTGATTTCAGTTCAGGTCATGATCTCACAGTTCGTGAGATCAAGCCCCACATCAGGTTCTGCACTGTCAGATTCTCTCCCTCATTTTCTACCCCTTCCCTGCTTGCGCATTCACACTTATGCTCTCTCTCTCTCTCTCTCTCTCTCTCTCTCTCATATAAATAAACATTAAAAAAATGAGGTACAATAAATCAGGTACTGAATAAGCCCCATAAACAACCCATACTATGCATATTCTGTTCATTCCTTCCTTTCTCTCTTCCCTCATTCCTTTCTCAATCTTTCTTTTCCTTTTTTTCTTCCTTAATTTGCATCTTCTTCCCCTCTCTGCATTTCACTTAATGTCTGATGTTCATGGGACCCAGGGCTACAGGCAAACAATAGAAGCTTGCTGTATGTACAGAATTAGTGTCTTGTAACCTCTGCTCTTCCACAGGAAGCCCACAGCCTTAATTTCCACCCTAGCTACTTAGGCAGCTTCAGAAGGACACCAAGGTAGAAGCAAGATTCTGCAACAAACTACTGGCATGTTATAATGCTCTGGGTGCTTTTAACAATTTTCTTCAGGCTGCCCTACCTGGAGCCACTACCATTGTTATTTTCCTCAACCTCATCACCTACACCCTCCTCACACTTTCCTTCACATGCTCCTGGGCCCTGTGGCTTTTCAGTTGAATGCCAAGCCCCTACAGATGAGCCTGGCATCCTTTACCCAATGTGCCAGTAGCCCCCAGAAATATACTTGTGTTTTTAGGAGCTTCCAAACTGATTTGAGTGGATAAGACTTATGATGCCATCAATAAAGAAGCAAGAGTTGCTGGGAAATGTGGGAGCTGGACTGGCCCAGAATTGTCAATGGATGATCATGGAAAATGTATAGTTTGGGATGGGTTTTGTAGGATTAATGGGGTTTTTAAGAGACAGTAATAAGAGTCATTCACTGCAGGAAAACTGTGAATAGTTTGGATGTCACACAGCATGATAGGGTACAGTGAGCCTATGATGTGGATGAATGTAAAAAAGTTATGGGAATTATGACTGGAACATTTTGCCTTTTCTCATGTATATGTTTCAGAGTTCCTTATTGGAGAATGAGCATGATGACTTAGCAAAACTGCTTACACAGTATATTTGAGGCAGTATTTCCCAAAGTGCTTCTGTGGAAAATTAGTGTCATGTAATGCTCTGTAGAAAAACAATAGTAATAATTTAAAGAAATGTTGAATATTCTTTCCTCCCCCTTCAATATTTACAGTGCACATTAGCTTATTTTAAAAAAAGGTCTGAATTAGCCTTACAATACAAAAACCTGGCTTCCCTAGGAAAAGTAGACCTCCCCTATTTATTTTTAGTATAACATCACACTTTTTTTCTTTTCTTTTTTTTTTTTTTTTTTTTAGAGAGAGAGAACACAAGCAAGCCAGGAGGTAGAAGAGGGGCAGAGAGAGAGGGTGAGAGAGAGAGAATCCCAAGCAGGCTCCATGCTCAACACAGATCCTAATGTGGGGCTCAATCCCATGACCCTGGGATCATGACCTGAAGTGAAATCAAGAGTTGGATGCTCAGCTAACTGAGCCACCTAGATGCCCCTTACATCATACTCTTTAGTTGCCCTCAAGGTGCTTTAAGAGTCTGTAACTGTTTAATGTATTTATTTTTAATATTTTATTGACTGGTTCCCCACCAGAATATAGACTGCATGAGGATAAACATGTTGCCTCTCTTATTTACCATTATACATCAAGAATCTAAGTTTCCCTGGGGTGCCTGGGTTACTCAGTTTAGTTAAGCACCCAACTCTTGGTTTTGACTCAGGTCATGATCTCATGATTTGTGAGATCAAGTCCCACATGGGACTCTGTGCTGAGAGTACGGAACTTGCTTGGGATTCTGTCTCTCCCTCTCCCTCTTCCCTACACACATGCATTCTTTCTCTCTCAAAATAAATAAATAAACATAAAAAAAAAAAGAATCTAGCTCATTGCCTGGGCATGTAATGAGCGCTCCAAATAATAGTAAACAATGATTAAAACTTGTTCATCTTTGTTTACCTTTGCATTGTCCAAACATTTGATAAAGGGTAGAGCTGGAATTTGAATAAAGTGCTGCCAAATCCTGGACTCCTTTTGACCATAGGTGGTATGGTTGTTGTTCCCAGACACCACCTAGACTTCTTGATGTTACAGTTTTTTTCTCTTGGGCATTTACTCCTGTTTATTACCTTTGAAGCTTGAATTATCTGATATGCCCAATTTTTTTTTCTTTGTATCTTTCAGGCAAAGGCTGCCACCTAAAAATGTTTACTACTACCGGTGTCCGGACCATAGGAAGAATTATGTGATGTCCTTTGCATTTTGTTTTGACCGAGAAGAAGATATTTACCAATTTGCTTACTGCTACCCATATACATACACACGCTTTCAGCATTACCTTGACAGCCTGCAAAAGAGAAACATGGATTACTTCTTTCGGGAGCAGCTGGGTCAGAGCGTGGTAAGGCCTAGTCTGAAACAGGCAGCCTTGGGAGAAGTGCTTAGCAATGGGTTTTTATAGAATGCAAATAATAGATATTGATGCTTTGCATATGCTCTGGAACTTCTATGAATAGTTATTTTTATTGTGCCATTCTTTGCCTCTGTGGCTAACAGGAAGTCACAGAATAAGATATGAGGCAAATGCTTGTCCTTCTGAATGAAGCTGATAATGCTAACAAAATACAAAAATTTTAGTGACTCCCAAAAACTCTGAGAAAAAAGAGGGAAGCTTCTACTAGGTGTTACAAAAGGCATGAAAGCATTTTATGAGTGGGAGTCTCTGAGATAAAACATACATTTGTCTTTTAACGAATGCAACTTGCCTGCAGTGCAGGTTAGCAACTGGTGTGCGGTTTGTTGTGCTGCCCACTGTGTTTTGTCTCTGTCATCCCTCAGTTCCCAGCTTTTCCTTACCCTGGGTTTAGTTCCCTGGGTCTGGAGATTTTGGTCTTACATTCTGTATTAGTTTCCTATTGCTGGCGTAGCAAATTACCACGAACTTGGTGGGTTAAAACAACACAAATTTATTATCCTACCGTTCAATAGAAGTCCAAAACTGGTCTTTCTGGCTAAAATTGAGGTATCAGCAGGTCTGCATTCCTTTTGGGGGTTCTAGGAGAGAATTTATTTCCCTGCCCTTTCCAGCTTCTAGAGACTGTTTGCATTTCTTAGCTTGTAGTTCCCTTCCATCTTCAAAGCCAACAATGGCTGGTTGAGTCTAATGCTGAATCACTCAGACAGTGAATCTCCTGCCTCCTTCTTTTACTTTTAAGGATCCTTGTGATTATGTTGGGCTCACCCAGATAATGCAGGATGATGTCTCCATCTAAAGATATGTAATCACCTCTGTAAAAGCCCCTTTTGTCTTGTAAAGTGACATATTCACAGGTTTCTGGGATTAGGACTTGGACATTTTGGGAGGGGGGTGCATTGTTCTGCCTACCATTGTTCTCTGTGGTCAGTGATACTTCAGTTACTTCAGTTACTATAAACAGGTGATAATTTGCTTTTATGTTTCATTCTTTAAGAATTGTGGATTATGCCTCTAAAATAGGCATACTGAGTACTTTAAAGCTCCTACAAGAGGATACTGGTGGAATTAGCAGAAAGTACTATACTGGAAGTTCTGATACATGTTGGTGGAAATATGGATTCTGCCCAGTGACTGTGAGTTCCACCTAGAAGGGAACCCCACTTCTAACTGAAAGTTTTCAAGACTAGACTGTTTAAAAGACATAGAGTCTAGTCCAGGATACCCCCCCCCCCCCAGAAAAAAGAGAAATAAAGAGGGCTTGCATATGGCTCAGGTACCTGAGAGTCAAATCTGATCTCAAAAGCTAGTGGTCATGATGATGTTCTTATAGTCTGAGATTCTCTATGCACTAAGATTTTGCTAAATATCTTCCCTTTACTCTAACCCTCTCCCTAACAGTGCTTCTGGTGGGTGCCATGTGTATCTAATGCCTATATATTTTGAACTTAGAATTGGGCACATTGTATATCAGTCAACATGCTACTAGGAAACAGATGGCAGCCTCACATTAGGATAATTTGAGCAGGGTTTAATAAATGGGCTATTTACAAGGTGTGGGCAGTGTGTAGGGAAACCTCGGGGTTTCCCTGGGGCATTTCCCTGGGGCTAGAACTCAAAGGCTATGAAGGGAGGAATGGTTATCAGAACCCAATAGTAGAGTCATGTTGTGGGCCATCTTGAGTGAAACAGTGAGTGACCTTCAGTTAAGGAAAAAGTTAGCCTAAGATGACCCCACAGGGAGGGAGCTGAGAAAACTAAATATGTAGAACCCATTCTCTTACTTCCGTCTGATTTCCTGCTAGGGGTCTCTATTAACCAACCCAATCAGAAGTCAGAGGACAAGAGAGCCCATTGATGCAGTACATACAAGTAAGCCACAGTGGTCAAAGAAAATGATAGAGAAGGGCAAAGAGTGGATGTAGAGAGCCAAATACAAGATATTAAGCACATATAGTTTGATCAGCATTTTATTACTGGGAACAATGAAATTGATATGAGACTGTCAGAGAAATTCTGAGATGAGTGTTTGCCAATCTATGAATTGTGATATGAGTTAAGACAGTGAGAAGTTCATTCAATACTTGTGACTTTTAATTTTAAGGGCGGGATTTGTACATTTCATTCCTCTGTCCACTCCAGCCCCCTCTTAGATTTATGCCAGGCAGAATGTAAGTCATCCTGAATGGCTATTAAGTAAATTATTTAATGAATGAAAGAATGAGTTAATATATATGTCTAGAGGCAATGTGAAGAACTAAGAGCATTAGAAAGTTGATAGGAGGGGTAACAGGATCAGTTATGCTGCCAACAACTAATATCCAAATCTGTATCTAAAATAGCAGCACTTTAAACAAAACAGAAGTTTATTTCTCTTCCATATAAAAGCCTATAGGCAATCCAGAGCTGATATTGTAGTCTGTTCCTTGGAAGCCTTAGGGAGTCATTTTTTTTCAGCTTTTTGTCCTGCCATCCCTGGGGCATTCCCCTCAATCCCATGATCCAGTGTGGATCGAGAATGGAATTCTTACCATCACATCTGTGTTTCAGACAGCAGGATGAAGAAAGTAGGGGGAGAAAGGAGAAAATGAAGTTATGTAGCACTTTCTCTTCTATCCCATTTCATACAACTCATATCCACACTTACCTAAAGTAAGGATGAGACATGAAGTCTTTATTCTGGGTGACCATGTTTCCAGCTAAAAATTGGTAGTCCTATAGATGTGTAGGAGAACTGATATTGAAGGGCAGCCCGAAGTATCTGCCATAGGAAGCCTGAATTCTGTTTTCAACTCTAATACCAAATTACTTATGTGAAACTTGAACGTTACTTCCTCTTTCTGGGGACAAGTTTTTCATCTATAAAATGAAAAAGATGGACTGGAATAGTGTTTTCAAGTTATTCTTTAAGGAACTCCTCAGGAAAAAAAAAATAAGTTGAGAACCTTGTCCTACTTCAGACCTTGCAAGGGGCACTGGGGGATATAAAACAAACCTTGGTATCCTTCAGAAATGTCTCCTATACCTGAGGAAATGGGATATGTTCAAACAGAAATAAAATTTTAAAAATATATAATTAAGGATCTCACTAGTTGTCTAGAGAGTTAATGGTCAGATTAAACATCATGGAGAAGATGAGCTTTAAGCTGACTCTTGAAAGATGGGTAGGATTAGTAAATACAGAGTTGGGGAGGAGGCAGCCCAGAGAGCAAGATTTAGCCAGAGTCATTGCATGGTGGCAGTTGGTTAGAAGTCTGGTTTGATTGGAATAAGGAATCTTCTTACTATAAGATTAGGATAAATAGGAATATTGGGGCCAAACTCTAGAAAGAGTTAATTGTCATACTGTCATTCAGATTTAACACAGATACTGGGTCAGTTACTTTATGTATACCATCTTGCTTATTTTTCATAGTAGTTTTATGGAGCAGGCAGAATTATCCAGCTTGGGGGGTAAATAATATAAGGCTAAAAAGGTTAAGTTACTTAGCTAAAGCCATATGGCTAGTTCATGTCAGGGCCAAGGTTTAAACCCATGACTTCTAACACCACATCCTGCCATTTTGATGGACTACTGCTGCTTTCTGCATTGGACCAACTGAGAGATACAGTGGATTTTTAGGAAAGAAATTACCTTATCCAAAGCAGCATCTTAAAGAAAGTAAAGTTAGTGAAAGTGCAGGGTGTACCTGTGCTGGCTAAACTAGTTTGGAGAAACTCTATGGGTTGGACCTCAAAGCAGATACCAAAGACTTTAAGGCTTTCTGGCATACTTTTACAGACAGGACAGTTCTTCATTACCAGGGTGTTTGGTATGGCTCATGTCTGAAGACACCAATATAATTAGTTAATCCTTATTCCAATTTGGAGGGAGGATAATTACAAGTTGGAAGGCTAAACATGTCAACATCCAGATCTTAGGGAGAGTAAGCAGGAAGCAAGATTTTGTATTTCTAGTGCTGGAATGATTAATCACCATGTCCATAGCTACCATTGCTACTAATTATGCCATCTGAAATGGTGTCTTATTTTGTTATTCTCTAGTGGTGTCTTCTAACCTCACCTTTGAACATGCATCAATGCCACAATCTGACATTTAAGATAAAAATACCATGGGAAAGATCTTATTTTTTCTTGTTATCTTAAGACCTTTATTGAGGTATAATTTTTATACCATAAAATACACCCATTGTAAAGGACCGGTTCTATGATTTTTAGTAAATTTATAGAGTTTTACACTATCACCGCAATCTAGTCTTAGAATATTTCCATCATCCCAAAAAGTTCCTTTGTTATTCCTCACTTCCACTCCCAATCCTAGCAACTACTGACCTTCTCTGACACTATAAATTTGCCATTTCTGAACATTTCATATAAATGGAATTATGCATTATGTAGTCTTTTGCTTCCAGCATCTTTCCTTTAGCATTATATTTTTCAGGTTTAGCCGTGTTGTACCATGTATCAGCAGTTCATTCATTTTTAGTGCTGAATAGTATTCTATTAAAATGATATATACCATGTTTTGTTTATTCTCTAGTTTATGGACATTTGGAAAGCTTCTATATTGGGGCTATTATGAATAATGATGTTATGAACATTCATGTGCATACTTTTGAGTGGACATGTGATCCACTTTGTTTCAGGTAGATTTCTAAGAATGGAATCATTGGGTCATATAGTAAGTTCATGTTCAAATTAAAAGAAGAAAATCTGTCAAACTGTGTTCCAAGTTAGTAATGCCTTTTTACCTTCCTACCAGCAATGTAGGAGAGAGGGTTATAGTTTCTCCATGTTCTTGCTAACACTTGGAATTATCTATATTTTTAATTATAGTTATTTTAGTTGGTATTTAGCATATCTCATTGTGGTTTTAAATTATATTGCCCTAACAGCTAATTATGTTGATTATCTTATCATGAGCTTAT